TAAGGCAAAAATAAATATTTTTTGATAAATTTCATACCAGAGATTCACCTATTGGCGAATGTCGCAGGGAAATTCGCCACGAGTGAGTGCACTGTTGGCGAAATTCCGAATAGGTGAACTTACAGAGAGACAACTGAGTGTATGACAAGACCGATAATAAAAAATCTTTTCCAAGATGTGCATGACTACAAAGCTAATAATAGAATCGATAGGGTGACCAATGTCTACGGTGATGGTGAGTAAATGGACACTGCTGGTTACCCTGAGGCTTCATAAATCTGAAAATGCTAGAAACCATCTATCACCGTGGGCCTCCGCTCTAGTAGCGGGCATTCTAGGACTACATGGTAACTCTTAAAAGTATATGATTTACAGCGATGCATTATCGTATATGAAAGCTTTTTTCCTAAATCAGTATGATAGCGATGCCAGTTTTATGACCGATATTGTCACAGGAACCTACGGTGATGATGGTTGCAAGGGCATTACTGATTACTCTGAGCATCAATAAGCTTGTCAAATGCTTCAAAGCGGTCATCGCTCTAGGTTCCTGCTCTCTGACCAGCATTTCAAAATTTCATCATGATGTACAAAACTATATATTTGAGTACGCGGCGATACATCATGTGAAAACTTTTTCCAGAGACTGTGTACGACGTTAGTTAGACGACTGACAGATTCACGAAATCATACGATAGTGATAACTAGTTTACCATTACTGGTTCCTCTGGTCTTCAGTGAGTCTGGAAATATTAGAAGCTATCTGCTACTGAAGGTCTCCGCTCTCCGAACCAACATGATTAGGATTAATGGTAGTGCGTAAAAACACGTAATTTAGATCTGCTCACTATAGCAGATGAAAATTTTCTTCATCGATGAATGTGATAATCATGCCGGTTATGGCACCGATAGAGTCAAGAAAAATCCCGGTGGCGGGCATTAAAAGCGTACTGCTGGTTATCCTAAGCTTGATGAGTCAATAGAATGTTATAAACCGGCGATCACCGTACATTCCTGATATTTTAACAGCTATTGTTGACCTTAAAAGTGTTTGTTGACGCGGCATACCTAAGTTTTTTGTATAAGCATCTTTCATACTCAGATAGCCTTGCGCTAACGAGTATCAGCTATATGAGCATCCTAATGTTATCTGGCGTACGCCTACAGCCCGCATCGTATTGAAGGAGCGATCAGCATACAAAAAAAGTTTATTAAATTTTGTGAAGTATGCCGATAAATTACAGAAAGTAGACGAATATAAAATATATGTGCTCTTCTCGATTAAGAGATGGTCAGTTTCACTTTTAATTGGACTCAGTTTCAACTGAGTAGCTTTATTTGTAGTATATTATGAGCGGTGCTTACGGTGCTCGTATACCGGTGGAACGGTGAACGGTGCACCGCTACGCCGGTGACCGGTCCACCGGTATCACCGGTTGGTACGGTGCACCGGTGGACCGGTGAAACCGGTGAACGGTGAACCGGCGGACCGGTGAGACCGGTGAACGGTGAACCGTAGACCGATCACACCGGTGACCACCGTCACCGTTGCATCCCTAATCATCATCATTATCATCATCATCATCTTCACAAACAAATAATAATATACATGTTCCAACAACAACACCTATTCAACAATTCAATATTCAAAATTTAGGTCCTGGTGCACCATCCAATTCTCAACAACAACAAAACCAATCAAATAATTCATCACTTGATGCAATAAAAAATTATTTAAAAGCACCACCATAAAATTTAAACCTAGATGATGAACAATCAACACCTCATTGATGATTATTAAAATATAAAAATATATTTTATGTTATTTGTAAGAACATTTTTTCTTTTTCTTTTTTCCTCTTTAAACTCTACTAATTGTATTTTTTCTTTTTCTCTATCGTTGTTGTTGATGATGTTGTCTATCTTTTTTTTTGGCTCGTACATAACATGCACACATACATATATATGCACACGATAACTTGTTTCTTGTATGTCATATATGTGTGTTTTATCAATCATCAAAAGAAACTAAAATACTGCCTGTGGTCTTCTTTTTCCTGTTTCAACAAAAGAAAAAACATGCAAGTTTTCTTTTGTTTTCTTTTGCGTTATTTGTTATGTATGTGATATGAACAATAAATAATAGTATTTTTACAATAATGCGATAGCAAAAAAACAAAGAAATCAAATGTCTATATATTTCATTTTTAGGTTTTCTTTGTTTTTTCATTTATTCGATCACTATTGAACTTTTGGCTCATCTCTCTTGAGTTATGTTCTAATTAATATGATTTATAAAATAATTTAGTTAAAACTATATCTATACACAACTATAAATATTATTTTCCCCTGAGATGAAAACATTCAGACTAATGTTTGTTCTACTTTATCCGATAAAATCAAATGCATCATTTGTTTTTTATTTTTTCGTTTAAGGTTTATAAAGATCGTAAAAAATAAGATAATCAACTGTATTCAATAAAACATTCATTAACGAAATTTCATGGCAAATCCGATCGGTAGGAGTTCTTTGATTAGAAAAAAAAAACAGACATCTTTCATATTTAATTATAGTAATCAAGAATAAAAAGAACTTTGTTTTCATGAAACATTTGCTAGACATAGAAATATTCTTAAAATAATTCACACATGAGAAGAACGTGAACGTTTATATATTCGAACAAAACTTTATGAAAGTAAGTATGTAGAAACAAAGAAAATATGAAATCAAATACAAAAAAAAATTAACTTTATTTTGCAGCTTACTTGATTATTTAGCAGAAAATGATATAAGCTAACCACTGATTAAACATTTTCTTTATCAAATAAGTCAAGTATGAATAAAAATAAAATCAAAATCCATAAATCACCTTTTTTATTCAAATAAATCTTTTAGACACTTGATTTTCTTCATTCATTAGATTATGTTCATATAGACGTAGATCTACAAAGACTTATTAATCTTAAACGTTTATATTTTTTTAAATTTTATTTCAAGTTAAACTAGACAATAGCTTTAATAACAAATGATTATATAGTCAAACTTTGCGACTTTCACATTGTACATAATTTACGACGTGTCAATGAACAATAGAGGACGGGTGATGATTTGTAGGTAAATCAGCTCAATAAAATTTTAATGATGACTTCATGTAGATGATAGAAACTATGATTTAGATTTTTTTAAAATGATTTTAGTAGATGATGATAAGATTTGAATTCAATTACATTTTCGTTTTTATAAATATTACATAGGAAGATTCTGATTAGCAAATTTTACATACATTTATTCACGTATGTACTTGCTATTTAATGCAAACTAAAGATATTATATACTAACAGATAAGTCTTAGAAAAATTAATTATATTTTCTATCAAAAGAGATAATATATTTGGATTTAGCAAAAATAATGGCATCGGTTTATGTGTGTGTTTCAAACTTTTCTTATGAATTTGATCTGGGATCACAATTAGACTCCTGATCTATATTTGAGCATATGAGAAAAAAATAAGTTAAAAAATCAAAGTCTTAAGAAAAGTTTTTACTACGTATAAATCGATCTATCATTAGTAGAGAATTTGTTTAGCTTGCATTATGTAGTAAGTACCAGCATCAAGAAATCACAAGTTTAAAATTTGTTAATCAGAATTTCTCTATGTAATACATAGAAAATTAAAAACATAATCTGGTCCAAATGTTATCAACATCTACTAAAATCATTTAAAAACTTTAAAGTATAGTTTTAATCATCTAGTACAAGAAATAATCATTAAAATTCAATTAAATAGATTTCTCATCAAACCGTCATCTATTTTTAAAAATTAATTCAATAGTTTGTTTTTTTTTCGTACTTTTAGTTACCAATATTAGCACAAGATGGTGATGCATGTTATCTTGTATTAAAAATTTTATCAGATAAAATATCAACAGTTGCTGATGTATTTAGTTTAGGTTTGATAGCATTTGAAATAATTAGTAATTATGATTTACCAGTTAATAGTGATCTTTGGATAAATATTAAAGAGTTAAAATTATCATTAAAAAATAACATTAGTATTAGCTAATCTAGTTTTAAAAGAACTTCTTTTTCGAATGATACATTCAAATTATAAACAATGATCAACAGCAAAAGATGTACTTTATAGTCGTATGATTCGAGAAGTAAGAAAATGAAGTTTTCTTTCTTGAGCTAATTATTCTTATGATTCAATCAGGGTTGCCACCTCTTCCGCTTTTTGCGAAAAGTTTCCGCTTTTTCACCTTTTTTCCGCTATTCCGCTTTTTGACATAAAAAGGTTATGTATTTTCAAAATATGTACAGAGCAAAAATTATTATTGTCGAGTAAAGTCTTACTATTTACACATCCAGTTAATTATCACTCTTATTATATCATCCATAAAATCAATGGACGAACACATAAAGTTTTTCTATGTTAGAGGGTTTGCGCACTAAGTGCCTGTTCGGAAATTAAAAAAATCATTCTGCTTTCAACTGATAGTTAACTCCTTTTCAACTTCTTTTGCCTTATTTACACAAAAAAAAAATCTCAAATCCGAAAATTTAAATGGTTTTTTGTGAGGTGACCGATCACTTCCTCGCACGACACTTCGTCGCAGAATTTTGTCTTTCTGTTCGTCGCAGATAAATTTCTTTCGTTCTGTTCGTCGCAGATA